CAAATAGTGAACGACCAAATCGAGCGAGGAAAATCGGGAGCTTGACTCAGTACAGATTGCAGGCATTTCATGTTCGCTTTGTGCGCGGATGATTGGGGATGTTTGCCGCCAACATGGTTTAAATAACTAAGGATAGCTACATTCATTTTATAAATAGCCCCACAGATTTTATAAATAGCCCCACAGATTTTATAAATAGTCCCAGATACCAGTTTCCTTACCAACACACATAGAGGCTGACCCAGCCCCTAATCTATACCCGTCAACCACAGGCACAAGTGCCCGGCTCCTTGAACAAACAAACACATTTCTCTAAGTACCTGGATTCTGCAAGGTACGCCATGATGCTCAAAAAACAGGTACCTGGACCCATTTTCTTTAGGGTACTTTGGAGACGAATTCATCCATGTACTCAGGGTTCAAAGCCTCCAAATCACTCAGGGTTCCACCAGCCCTGTGTCTTTAGGAGTGAAAGCAGCAGCAAGGGGATGCAAAAGGTATCGACCCCAACACACCGGTACCAAGCGCTTTCAACGGATGTTCAAATGGAGACCAACAAGTTCCATATAAGTATAGTGTAGGGTTGTCCATTGGTCCAGCTTGACAGGAAGCAGCTGGCATGCTGTCAGCATGTTCAGGACAGTGACTGCCCCTCAGCAATGTCGCTACTGCGTCGCTATGAAGGAGACACCACGCGATTCCCTAGCTTTGCCTCCGCCCGTGCTGGCTTGGTTTGTACCTGGACCCATCAAAATATCATCCTTAAAAGAGGGACATGGGGCTATACATAAAAACTGTACCTGGAGTGTCAAAGGACTTCAGAAAATTAGTACACGTACCGTACCTTGTTTTTCTAGAGTTATGTCCCATGTTCTAAGGTACTTTGGAGGGTCTAGGTACTTGTCATTAGCCAGTTTCTGAGGTACGAAGTGAGACTCCAGGTCCAATTAGCACTTTCTCTTCATCACCCACGCACCGATCGTGTTGTCATGATCGAACTCTATGGGAACTTGGTCCATGCTGCCAGAAAGGTGGGTCGCTCGGGTGTCAGCTGCCAACGCCTGAGAGAGTCGATCCGGTCGTACCGACCGACAGAGACTCCATGGAGTTGGGTGCGGACTCCATGGAGGGTGCCGTCGGGGTGCGAACATCGACTCACTTCGAGTCTAAAGACCGGGTAGGGATGGGAGGGTCTAGGGATGAGCCTCAACTATAGTCGATAAGCCTCAGGGGTGACCTGTCTTGATGATGTCCGGCTGGACTGAGAATTCAATCTAACGAAGGACGCAAGATCCGCTTGAGGAATTCGAACTTGGAAAAGATATTCTCCCAGGCTGCGGCAATCAAAATCCTCATTCTAAGGGAGATAGGGGTCTGCATGAGATGACCCATGGCAACTGCAGCATGTCTTCATACTCATGGAACTGAATCGTTGCCATGACATGCCATGGCTTCACTTCACTTTATCTGATCTTTTCTAAGGTAGTCGATCACTCTCAGCCCCTTCCGAGCCTGATGGTGGTCCACAGGGCCTCACGCCAGAGTGCCATATCTTCACCTCAGCTTCGATTTCGGTCGGCTCCCGGTCGATTCCTCAGCTTCCCCGGTCGCCATGGACTGATTCCGAAAGCATGTCTGGTTTCCGAAGGTGGAGATCTCATCGGTGGAGGTGCTGCAAGAAGCCGTGGAAGTTCTCCGAAGTCTGTCGTTGAAGACGAAGCCGTGGGCTTGGACGAGGTGGGGAGATGTGGAGAGAGACCAGGACCACAAATGTGTCTCTTCTTCCAGTCTTCCAGCAAACCCACCAGGGCCCGGCCTGTTGGGAGTGTCTGTGGGTGGTTGATGAAGACTTGCACAGCTGTCTGAGAATCACCCTGCCAGAGTGTGCAAGCTAGCAGCTAGTTGCCGCAAGAGTTTGGTGATCGAATTCGGGCTCCAAGTAGGGCCTTGTCTGAGATCATTGAGGATGTGAACGCAAGGGATGACTGGAGGATTCCTAGTTGTTCACAAGGTGTATTTTTCCTCAGCATGTGATCGAGTGATCTGATCGAAGCATCTGTTTCCTTCAGTTCCTGACCTCTACGGTAGGGACTATGGCGATTCGTGACCTCGTTCTGGGATCTGAGGTCACTGACTGAAGCTCGATCTCGCCACATCCTCCTGTCAACTCACCCTGTCATGTCATATTGAATCTGTGACTCCTCTGTTGATACTCCAACAGGCCCCAGCATGGCCCCTTGCAAACACCAACAGGGCCATACCTGGCAGAAACCGGGCCGCTCAGATGCTTCACTGGGTCTGATCTACACACGAGGCGTGTAGAAGTCGCTGATTTGCTCCACGGCTCACCGGACCGAACGAACGTCCAGACGCCTCAGCGGCCGCGGCCAGCGCCCGTCCTCGAAGCCATGCGGATACGGATCCGCAAATGGACGTAGTCCTACGGGGTCTTCAGAACCCCCCTGACCATGTAGGTTTGCCAAAAACCATTCTTAAGATATTCTTTGGATGGTGCTGGTCGAAAAGAAACAGGATCGATGTGTACATGGTGGACATCCTGGCACGGTGGGTGTACAAGAAAGTCCTCAGCAAGCACAGCGAACTTTGCCAGATTCACCATCAACATCTCCGGACTTGAACAACAAATCCAAACTGTCAATCGATTGCGCTGTTCATCTGCCCTGAACCCAAAACCATGTCCAAACGTGTCCAAGCCCACATTTCAACCATGAGGGATCCCTGTTTTTGATCCAGGGCCACCGTTCACGCCTTGGCCACCGGACCCTCGCGCCAGCGTGCAGCGTACAAGGCGCTGGGCCAAAACCGCAGCCAGGCCCGGCGCAGCACGGCGGCATCGGCCGCAGGGGGGCGGAGTTCGCTCAAGAGGCGCGTCCAAAGGGTTAGCGCGGAGAGGTTGGCCGAAAGACAGGAGGAGCGCCTGGGTTGGCGATCTAGGGGGGTTGGTGTGGAAGAACTGAGATGTGATAGGGGGAGGTGTGGCCGAAGTCGATTCTAGGTCTTGGAGTCTTGGAAGATTGAGAGAGCTACTTCAATTAATAATATTTAAAGATCAGGGAATGCTAGACTCATGACTCGACTCCAAGGGTCCCCTTGATGAGGCCAAAGAATCCTCCAAGTACTCAGAAATTCAGAGATACAGGGTAACAAGGTACCCAACCAAAAACAACCACTTCACGGTGGTCAATGGACACCCCAGGAATCCTTTCACCCTGGGTTGGGGCGTCCTGAGCAGACACTCCGTAAAGGGATGTCTTTGGGCTTCACGTCATCAAGCGAGTAGCTTGGAGGCGGCCACGAGGGGGTCTCGGTACGGTCCGTTCTTCGCTGCCGAAGGGCAGGAGGTACTCGGCCGCTTCGATCAGATCCTCTCCTTGGGGCGAGTCGGATCCCGCTGGGCCTCGGGTGGGCTCCAACTATACCTCCTGAGGTTCCGTGGTTGGGGTGGATTAAGAGGTCTGACGGTCTAACTATCTTCTGAGGTGGGCCAGGAGCCCTAGGGGCTGGAAGACCCTGTCGAGCACGGAGTAGACCTGGTGTACCTCCGAACGGTTGGAGGTTACCTGGAAGCTGTTCTTGTGGTCATTGTGTTTGGGTCCAGGTCATTACCCATGCAGATTTGCTTCAAAAACGGATTCTTACCTCAGACCATGGCTTTCTGCGGAGTGGGAGAAAAAGGTCTCGGTGGACTCGTGAAAGATCCGAGCCACGCCACAGGTGCGCATGGGGAAGATCCACCAAAAGACTGGCCTCAGAAACCACGTCCGGATCCATTGGTGTCTCTGAGGGTGGAGACACTTTGATGTATAAGGCTTGGCTCGTCCAAGTACCTTCTGAAAAGGTACGTAATAGGGAGATATCGTACGAGTACCACCATCCATGCAACTGGAACAAAGTTATCCATGGATTCCATGGATGGGTCATTGATGCGGTGAAGATGCTCCTGGCGGTCTGAGGGGGTCGGATACGGAGCTAGTCCGGATCCAGTACTATCACTGCATAAAGGGATTTATCTGCCTCAGACTTTGGAAGACAGCGCAAAGTAGAGCAAAGTAGAGCAAAGTTGCAAAGTACAGAAAAGATCAGAAAAGGAGGTTTCTATCAGATTCTATCATGCTTCATCTTCCCACCCTAAGACATCCTTCTGCGGATCAAACTCGGCGCTGCGTTCCCGGAACTCCGTGAGGCGGATCACTGGATTCGATCGCACGGAACACACGGAGCGTGGCACAACCGGTGGACACCGGCCGAAACGAGGCGGAGCGGACCGTGCGAAGCCATGCATCGGTACTGTTGATCTCAGTCATGAGTCTGATATAGTGGCTTGGCATTGCTAGTCATCAGTCAAAGTCAGGAATTGGGTCATTTGTGTTGGGTCATCGTTGTATGTGTGTAATTAGTAATATTTGTGATTGCATCAGAGAGGTGCAACGATATGTGGAGTGGAGGAAGGTTTTGCAAACATAGATTGAATGTGGCCAGCATACTTAGAACTACCTTATTATGTTCCTTTATACATGGATCGGCAATACATACATGGAGTATCATGAATGTAACTGTTCCCGTCCGATGGTCTGGGATAGGTTTTGATCTCGATCAGTCGGTGGTCTGTAGACTCAACTTCCCGACCTGTGTTACCTGTGCCCTCCAAAAGTGGCGTGAATTGAGTTCAATTTCCGAGGTGTTTGAACACTTCGGTCGGTGAATTGGGTTCTAGCCAACAAGGACAAGACAATAAGACAAGAATCTGCAGTCGTCCTGTTGGTACCTGGGGTTTCCCCCCAGTCATACCATGTCGTACCTACCTTCGTACCTATGAACTCGGGTCATGTCCCATGTTCGGCCACGGGTACACTTGCACACTGGTACGTGAGGTGCAGGAACTTCTGTCATCAATGGCGCCCATTTCTCAAGTCCCTGGAGGGTCCAGGTACTTGCAAGGTGAGTTGCAAAGGCGGACTTCAGCGCTTCAGATGTCGCTTAGCAACACTTCGATCGGCATAATCAACATGGCAAGATCATGGACACACAAAAACCATGGTACAACAAGTACAACAGCTAAAGTTGCTGGAAGAGTTGCATCTCAATCCACCGAATATATCTCATTTCCTCCCCAAACGCCAAAGCCAACACTACCCAAACGCTCCAAACAAACACGCTCCAAACGATTCCTGAAAACCTACGGTTCGACTCCAGACCTCTCCAGGTCCGGTCAGTCCACGGGTCCACGTGCACCACCTGCTTTGACGGTCGACCAAGGAGCCGCAGCGTCCCAATGGTGACGCCGGAGGGCTTCCAGTGCCGCACTTTTCAGGCGACCCACCAACTCCTTACGCCGCGACCGGTTCATCCGCGGTCTTGGAGACGAATCGAAGGCACGGCCTTGGAAGGCTTCAAACGGCTTCATGGTCCATGTTCCAGTCGGACCCCCGGGAAAACGAAAAGAAGTGTATACCTGATATCATGATTACTTGAAGTTCCCATTTGATGGGCGTCTCTGACTGTTCTAGCTTACTTTGAAGGCTTCAAGTGTCGGAACGTCGTTTTTGTCGGTACCAAGTCGGCTCTTGCCTCTTCCCCCGACGGACCGTTCAGGCCCGGACGATTTCACAGGACATGACCCGAAACAGAAAATAGGTACCAAAGGTGGTGAATGGACGCCCCTCAGCGGCCATTATATATGTTATTGCTAGACACTCAAGACTTGACTTGATGGTACTTGATGTGCCCATATTCCAAGGTACGAACCGGTCGACTTCAGGTAACTAATCAAGGGTCATTGGACTTGGCTTTTAAGACTTTTTCATCAATCCATCTTTGTCATTCTTTGTCCTTGTTTGGGGAGGAGAGATAGCTACACTGCTACACATCCAGTCGCATTGAGGACGCTCACTGAGTGACACCTTAACCTCTCCCGACATCACTCTCGAACTAGGATTCGGATTTGCTATCATCAAATTTGATGCACCTGGCAAGCGAATCAAGGGCCCCTGGAGTGGCTTCCACGTTGCCAAGTGTGTTGAAATGCCAGTGTCGGACCTCGTTGCTGGGCTCACCGATGGTCCTTGTGACTATCAATCATTCACTGACTCTTCAGTGCACAGAGTCCATCTACAAAGGCCGGAGTAGAGGTGGTTATTCTGCACAACGCTGGCCATCCCCAATGTGACAAACCGATTTCTCTCAAAAAACAAATGCGCTTCATCCGGTGGATACTGTACCAGTGGTTGCCGATCAAAGAAACTATCAGAATAATGAATAAGGGGCTCTGACATAGGACCTCCTACTACTACCAACACCCCAGTTATGGTTATGTTCCGTTTTAGAGGTGTCCTTCTTCACCACCCACCTGGACCTCAAGTCAAGCTATGTTGGAACATTGGAACCCGCACATCAGGAATCCCCAATTGGTACCAAAAGAAAACTGGACGTGCCCAACAAGAAACAAATTGTATTGTTATCCATTCTCTGGTGGCCATCTTCTGCGTGCTCGTCCCAGCTAAGCACACCCGAGCTGCTCCAGGCAACTTCCCTCCTCCCTCCAGCTCGAAGACAGCACCTGGTGGAAGAAGTGGCCGAGCCGTCGGTAAAGTCAACGTTTGGATCTCGTTGGAGCCGTTTGGATCTCTGGAAATCCAGCTTTCACCGAAAAGGCTAAAGATTGAGTGGGTAAGCCACATGAAACCACTCCCTCAAAACGGTTAAAAGGTTATCCATTCATTAACATGATGCGAAAGATGCCCCCCCAAACGTACAGCCGTATACGTTGTAATGGCCTCTCACCATCCACGAGTTGTTTTGAATCTGGATCCTTTGGGTGTCGTCCTTGTCGGGCCTGGGCCAAGAAAAGCAGGCCCTACGAGCGCTCCCGTAGATAACCAGACCAGATATTTAAAAGAACTGGCCTGGTGTATATGATGACATTTAGTGCATGCAAGATACAATGCTTACAACTTGCCAATTGGAGTGCACTAGCTCATGTTTCCCTGCCTGAACATCCTTTTGATGATGTTCAGGATGGGAAACCAAGGACCAGGCAGATACTGTCAATAGTTTGGCCCATAATGGCAAAACTTGGCAAGTCTACCCCTAAGGGACCATGATTGTTAGTTGCCCTTAGTCGCTCTTTGTGAGTTGTGACAATTGGTTGTTTGTTTAAGTTGCTCTTTGTGCTCTTTGGCTAGCTTTACTGACCGTGGTCACGGCCAGTCAGTCCGGAGCAAACCCAGTCAGCGTGGTCGTCTGGACATGTCTGGTGTCTGGGCATTATACGAAATGGCGCCGTGCCGGACCACCGGGCCATTGGTATTCGGACTTCATGGTCCTCCTTTCGGGGGGATTTGCCCATGTCAATTCAGGGAGTGCATACTTTGCATGGAACAAACATCATATTCCATGAACCCTGCATCGATGGATGGGATGCAATGAAAAGTATCTGCCGAAGCCGTTCTAAGACGAAGCGCTCCTTTTCTAAGACAAACAGCTCAAATGACGATGAGCAGGTGCTCAGAAGAAATTTTGAGGAAGGAGTGCAAGGCACATCACGACATAAAAACACCTTTCATGTTGGGTCACAAGCCCCTTATGTATCTGTGGGCAGCTAACATATAAGATCAATATAAGTTATATCCATGGCCCCCGACAAACCCGCGGTTTGGACCCGCGGGTTTAACTCTGGCAAGTGTCGTTCGGATACCTGATCACTGAAGATATCCTGCTGGATGGTTTCGGGGCCACGGTGCTAGATGTTCTCCTATCGCTCCGGTACCATGGTGCCATGTGCCCGGTGTGGGACAGTGGTGCCCACAAATGAAGAACAGCAGCACCATGTGCTACACGCACATGTTTGTCTATACACTCTATACCAAGTATATGAACTGAAACTTGGTACTGTCAATTGAAGTGGTTCTGGGTGTCCATGGCTCATTATGGTATGTGTTCAGAATAAGGCCTCCTACAGCCCTGGCAACTACATAAGTAAGTTGTTCAGGTAGCTCTAGCTCAAAGTGTTCCATGGTCACGATCTAGCTTCACAACCATGCGGACCATGCTGTTTGCATTCTCCAACTCGGTTGCTTTGAACATGTTCAACGAAGCAAGCCCATATAACATCATATAACACTGTTAACACCTGCTCATCATGACTGTAACTTTACATGTTTTGGGTTGGACCCTTATTGGATGCTTCACTGCTTGTTGCCACCAAAGCTGACAGCGACGATGCTTTGCACTTCTCCACCTCGAATCGTTGGAGACTAACAGATGCTGCTATGCTGTTCAGACCATTGAACCCGCATCGGTGAGGTCACCTCATGAAGATCCTGTCATGCCCGGCATGCCCCACCGATCAACACGCCGAATTTCTGAAACGACGATGAAAGAGTTGCCTCATGCTGAATTCACATGCCGGTGATTTGAAATGACTTTGCTCTACTGAGGGCGGTCTGTTAGTTTCTTGGCTTTTGGGTACCCTAGAAAGTGTGACATGACCCTATTAAAAAAAACACAGGTACAACTGTACGACTGTACCCGTTTTGCAAGGTATACCGTGAGACTCGAGGTGGAACTAACATGTTACGTTTAGTGAGAATCTCAAGGATTCCCCATTTGTTTGGAATAACGGAAAAGCCATTCACCTTTAGACGGCAGAATGGTTCCTCATCATGTGTTGGTTGCTGAGAACTGAGAACTGAAAAAAAAAAAAACAAATATGGCAGTTTGTCCAACATCTGAAACACAGTAGCGTGACCAACATCAAAAGACAAGTTATATACCCTCAACATAACATCCAGGAAGTGAACAACTCGAGATTTCGGGTGCCAAATGAGTTTTCCTCTAAGTGAGTGCTTGATGGAGGTCACTTCGTGACCCCTGGCTTACAAACATTCAATTTATAACTGGTCTCGAGTACTGGAAAGGCGCTTCAAATGTTTCATCTATTTTAATCTTGTGCTCTGCAGGCTCGGCTCGGCATCTTGCTGAACAACCTCAGCATCTGTCCAGACGGTCTGGCGCCTTCGGCGCAGGAAAGCTCCTTGTTCGACGAGTGGTGCACGGTGTTTTTTTGAGGGGAGCCAAGTCACAGGTGTCAAGCCGACGTCATCGACGTAGCTCCAGCAGTCTTCAGGCTCCAGCGTCTTGGGGGCTGGAGGATAGTCCCCCAAGTTGATTTGCTTGTTGATGGACACCCCGAATCACCTCTTTTCGGGGCGATTCATCGCCCCGTCCTGGACCCTGGAGGAGGTCGTACCCTGGAGGGTTGGGACATGACCCGATCCCAAAAAAATACTATCAATTTTCCGAGGTACGACTTGAAATGTCCAGGAAAAATGTCTTCAATCCAATTCGAGGTCCACCTGTGGACATCTTCTTCCTGGAGCCGCACCAATGAAGGAGCCGTAAGTACAGAGGATCAGGGAAGTCAATGAAGCTTCTTCTTAAGGGAAAATCTGCAGAAAACCTTGGTTTTCACTCCCCAAGGCCATGGGTTTTCCTGTAACTTCAGAAGATTGGTTGTGGGGGGAAAAAAACACAACTACATATCCGATCCGTCAACCATTCCGCTGCGATATATATATATATATATCCAAAGTACCTTAGAAAATAGGACATGACATGACCCTATCAAAAACAGGTACTTGCACCCATTTTCCGAGGTACTTTGAGACTCCAGGTATATAATATAGTTTAATTGGTATCTTTTCGAGATAGAATCCCCATGTTTGCTCCCCAAGAATTTGCACGTTGGATCAACTGGAAAACATCGAAATATGATCGAAATCTCCTTAGCTCTCCCCATCCGCGCTCCATTCCAATTCGCACGCGATCCGCATCGCGTGCGCAGAAAAAATGCGTGGCAGGCGTTCAGCTTCGCCGAAACTGAGAAGAGGCCTAACAAGGGCCTGCGATTCGGATGGAAGTTGAGACTAACATTGGCTGAACATGCAAGTATCTTGCGATCATCATGACACCATCTACATACCAATAAACTTGGATCATTTCGGTTTTCATCTTTCTTGGTGGAACAACTGCTCCAATTTGAGGGAACGGAAACATTCGGGGTTGTCCAGTGAACATCTGAAACTTTCTGCATACAAACAATGAGTATTCCGTAAGGGCCTTGTGTTTCAAGTTGACATATTTTGACCAAACTGTTCAAGCAAGCAGCTAAGCAGGTGTTGAGCTAGTTGGCAGTTTTGACCAGTCTTAGAGCGTTCTGACATGCTCTGACTATCTTAATCTTCCAGAATGTATTTTTGTTAGCAACAAGATAAGTTGCTCTTCCCTGGAAGTTCAACACAACGTTCAATCAATC